CATACCCATTACAGATATCCATCACGTTTATTTCTAATGTATAGTCCTGTACTCTAATTATGGTGGTTCTGGTCTTAGAGTGCTCTCCTTCTTTCCTTCCCCTCTCCTTCCCTCCTCCCTCCTCCCTCTTCATTCCTTTCTCCAAGACACACAGTAACCACTTATGAGAGAAGTTATTGGCAGGCTTTAAATCTTCAAATCATTTGGCTTGTCATATGCATTAGTGGGAATTAGAGTATTTGGAAGAATTTGCTTGGCAAATGGAATTTGATCTTCCTTATAGCAACATGCATTTTGGAGCATATGGGTAAAGGGACCTAAAGAATGCATGTTGCTTTGCGTTATTCTTGAGAATTTCAGGTCTTACAGCCTTCCTTTTTGGTTTGACAACTTATGTGCAAAAGCAGGTCTGTACGATGACTTTTTGGCAGAAAAGTAATTTAAATGTTAGCCTGTCCAGAAACCTTCAATTCAAATACTAGAAAGTTCCAGAGGATAATCTGTTTATATTAAATTGAACATGTTATCCTTTTGGGATAGAGCTATTACAGGATTTGGCAAAACCCATTTGCATTTTTGAATCTGTTGTACATTTTAATTTAAACATTGCGTGATAAGTTTGGAAGTATGATTCACATTCAAGACACCCTGTGGATCAGTTTATGGTTAAGTATATAGCATTCTCCAAGGATTTTTTTTTCAAACAAGCTGTCTGATGTTCTGTATGAAAGGGCATTGGCAGCAGCAGTGTTTCAGTTTATAATTTGTTTGTATTTCTGGAAAGGAAATTTTTAGATGGTTCAAAATCAAGAATAGAAATACATCAAACTGAATCTCTTGTTTTGTGGAGGATGAGTTTTGCCAGCTTAAAAAAAAAGACAAAAAAATTAAGGAAAAAAAACAGTCTTTTATTTGCAGAGTTTTGTTGTTACTTTGGCTATTGGAAATGGTTTATTGAAAACTCTCCCTAGAATAATGCGTCTGATGAAGTGCACAATTATGTAATGTAATAGTATTTCATACTTTGGTCTTGAGCCATTTGAGTAATTTGTAAACATGATGGTACTTTTTCTTGAGGGGGAGATGATCTTGAATTTAATCCGAAACCACGAAGGATATGACATGATACCATCCTGAGTGTCTTCATCCTACACAATCATCTAAGCATCCTAGAACTTTCCGTCTTGAGATCAGAGTCTGATTATTTCTTTGGGCTTTCCTATTTGTGGAAATAGTTTCCCTGCTCTGTTTAGAGTCTACATTCTCATTTGTGGCTGAATTATAATCTGGCTGTCTTGAAAGCTACCATATGGCTAAACTGTATCTATAAACTCCAGTAAAAATCTGGATTTCCTCATATAGCTGACTTACATTAAATCACAGTGACAGTATGCTGGCCCAGGTTTCTGACCGCAGTGGGCAAGTTCTCAACCAGAAATCAGAGACCTGGGTCCTACTTCTAGCTCCTTATATGTGATCTTGGGAAAGTCTCTTAATCTTTTGGTGCCTGGGTTTTTCCGTAAGTAAAACAGAACTGAGAAAGTTTGGAATGCTTTTCTTCAGAGGACCTTCTGAAGAAAGATACTACAGAGAAACAAACTGCTACTTGGGTTAGACTTTTACAATCACAGGTTGTTGGGATGTGCTACATAGAGACTTAACCAGCTTCACAAATCATTGTGTGTTTCTTGTCTTACTACTTGAAGTTGAATGATCATTGTTTAATATTTTTCCATATTTGTTCAAATCAATTAATATTCATGAAAAAGATCATTCAAGGCCATCTTGGAAAATGGAACAGTAGCTTTTTGTTCAACAAAGTGAAAATTAATCTTCAGATGATACAGTGTCCTACAGCATAGAGCCGTTAAATGAAATGTCACGTGTAGACGTTACTAAACTGATCTGCACAAGGAGTTGCCGTAAGTTGCATAATAAGTCCATTGATAGACTTTTGCTCTCTGGGGAATGAAAGAACATTCTGCTGCTACTAGAATCCATCCACATTTACGAGTGCTGTTTTTCCTTCTCTTCCTAGGAACACTTTGGTCTTAGTAACCTGACTGGGATGAATTGCTTGGTAGATGGAAACATCCCACCAAGTTCTGGCCTCTCCAGCTCCAGTGCCTTGGTGTGTTGTGCTGGCTTGGTGACACTCACGGTGCTGGGACTGAAGCTATCCAAGGTAACTAAGTTGAATGAGTTAGCCTCACACAACCTTCTTTCTAAAGTATCAGCATCTGAATCTCAAAATTAGAATATCTTTCTTAGACTGAAAAACTTTGTCTTACCTGAAAGGACTGCACACAGGGGAATGCTCTGTAACTTTTTTCCAAACTGTGAGCAGATGTGTGAATAGCTGTATTAAAATGCTCTTCGATTAAGTGTAGAGATTGAATGCATGGATATCTTTTTAGATCACCTTATTAACAAGTTCAGTTTAGAGCAAGAAATTCTAGGCTTCATAGTTAGGCCTGCTTATTTTCACCCAAAACCTTCAATTAAATATTTGACAAGCAGTGGGTAAAAAGAGTAAAGACCAGGCAATAAAGGAACTGAGTAGCATATCTGTTTATGCCAGCAGGTTAGTCACTGAAATAAACTTTTTTTTAAATATTGCATTACAAAGAGGAAATGCTTATTTAAAGAAGACATAAATCCTATAAGAGGTCAGTAAGCCTCAACTTTACAAGTTCACATAAATCTCTGACTTAGCAGTTCAGAGCAGGTGTGCTGAACTTTAATGTTTCAGAGTTCTGGTTCAAATAAAATGTTATCATAGGTTCTTTTTTTTATGTCATGCACACATACTACTAAGTTTATAGATGGGCATCAGGTAGATGAAGAGAAAGTCAGCCACATTTTTAGTCTTTCTTAAGCCATTTTAAACTGTCAGTTTGAAAATTTTATGTGTAAGAGGAAAGAGAGAAATAAAAGAGAAAGCAAAGGCTTAAATAGACTTCTCTTTAGCTGTCATGTGTAACTATACACGAGTTAGTCCTTCGTAAGCAATGGCTTAATTTGGAGGGAAGGGTAACTTACTTTGTTTTTTTGAGAGGAGAGAAAGCAAGGAAAAGCAAGTCCATGTGTAAAGTGTGCTTCTACTGGTACTGTGTTGAATCTGATGGTTTGTTTGTTCTTTCATTTATCATTCAGCCATTTCTTATTTGGTGGCTACTTTAACTGGCACGATGTTCAAGGCACTGGAGATTAAACAGGTGTAGTTTTAACCCTCACAGTACTTAGGATCTAAAATGGGGATAGAGACAAGTAAGTAGATAACTATCAGAGTGTGTTAAATGGATGAGTAGTGTGCTATGGGAGCAGATCTAATCCAGATTTAGAGAACATAGGCCATATAAGCTAAGACATAGGGATTCATAGATGTTAGTCAAGAAATATTGATGGCATGATAACACTGGAAACATTGGATAGGCACGTTTCAGGTGGAGGAAACATCATGTGAAAATATCCAGAGTAAGAGTAATCATAGTTTGTTGGAAAGAACTAAAAGCGGCTTAATTTGTCTGAAGCATACAGTAGGAGACCAGATGCTGGACCTTGTAAACCATGTTGAGGAATTTGGGCTTTACATCGATAGCAGTTTGTAAAACCATTGCAGCCTTTTAGGAAGAAGATAACATGATCATATCTATATTTTAGAACAATCACCCCTGACTATATGACAAAAATCTAGATTTGAGAGTAATGGTATTAGCAGTAGAGAGATGATTTGGTTTAGGGAAGTCGCAGTGAGAACGGAGAGAATTGGATGATAGATTTAAAGTACATCTCAGAAGCAATAAGATGATTATTGATTGGGCGTGGGGCAGCAAAAGTCAAGGATAATACCCAGGTCTGTGGCTTGGTGTGATTCACTGGGATAAGGAATATAGATGAAAACATAGGTTTGAGGGGAAGGTGAAATGTTGAGTATGAGGAATCAGTGTTCATACTGATGGAATTATGTAGTATTTAGTTACAAACAATATCTCTGAAGGTCAGGAGGGATATTTGGACTTGAGAGGGTCCATTTGAGAGTCATTAGTATGTAACTGACTTTTGAAGCCACAGGAGTGAAGGAGAACTTCCGGTGGAAGAGTGCAGGTAGAAAGATAAGACTAAGAGAAGCATGAACATTTGAAGGATGGGCAGAGGAGGAGATGTCCACTTGAAGACACTAAGGAGTAAT